AAAAAAAAAAAAAAAAAAAAAAAAAATAGCATCTGTGCAGGATTATTTTCTGGACCGAGCAAGGAAATATGCATCAAAGGCTTAGTATAATGTCTGGGCAAACAGTAAACAGGCTGAAAGCCTGGGCGCCAAGGGAAGGCCAGGACTTGACTTTGCCAACCGCTGCAAGTGCCTAGAACAGTGAGTGTCACGTGGCAGATGCTCAAAAATATGTGTGGAAGGAATGAACGAACGAATGAATGAATGAATGAGGATGACCGTTCTTTTCACAAATGGCTTGTCCTTCACCTTGATCAAAACACTGAATCTAATAAATAAGGGGAGCCTTTTTTTTACATTTCTTTTACATCTTTCAAGGCAAACTATTATTGTGTTGAGTACATAAAAAGATACTCAATATGACTTAATAAATGAATATATAATTCTTGAGGGGGGTAGAAAGTCTAGAAAACATTCAGGGCCGACACACATATCATTGGTATATACGGCGATGTCCCCATTGTACTGAGGTTGGAAAAAGACACATCGTTCCAGAAATAAGGACAGAGAGGGTGTAGGGAAGAGGCGAGGCCAGAGGGCTCTGGAAACTGCCCTGCACCCAGGGAACCCCGTCTCTCTTTTGTTAACTCCCTGCACAGGAGGAGACCCCCACCCCACATCCCTGCCTTCCAGGGTCAGCACCTGGGTCGTGGAGCCAGCCCCGGTGGGGGGGCTGGCTCCTGGATCTTTCCCATTACATCATTCGGCCCATCGCCCTCAAAAGCTACCAAGCTCCCTGGCCCTCCCCGCCCTCCCCCACTCTTCTCCATACTTCTTATATCCCGACACGAGCTCCAGGTAGTTGGTGGGTGTGACATAGTTGTATCTCCGCAGCTCCAGCAACATCTTCTGGGAGTACCGCCCCACGGACCAGTGCATGGTGACAAAGATCTTGGCCACCTTCCTGTGGATCTGAGGCCCACGGAAAAGGATGCAAGACGGACAGTGAAGGCACTTAGAGAAGGGACACGGGCAGGAGGTCGGGGCTGGGAGTGTGGGGAGGGCCTCACATTCTCCTCTGTGCCCAGGTCCACTCCTTGGAGGTACTTCTCGGCCACCTCCAGCAGGGCCTCGTGGGGCCACTCGGAGAACCAGTTGATGGTGGTGCAGTTCACCAGGGCCGGGTACTGGCGGATCCAGTTCCTGGTGACGGGTTTCGAGAAGAGGTCAGTCCCCTCCAGAGAGGCAGCCTCCAGCTCCTGGCTCCCTCACGGGTCCGGCCGCTTTCCAGAAACCCACATGTCCCCTCCTCATGCTCCTGTGTCCCCCCCACCACCCGTCCAGGTCCGGCTCCCCTCAGAGCTGGCTCAGTGTAGCATTTAGGGACAGACGGCCTGGTTCACACCCAGCTGTGGATCTTGAGCAAAGGAACATCACTTTCCTCATCTCTAAAATGGGAACAACGGGGCGCCTGAGTGGCTCAGTCGGTTGGGCGGCCGACTTCGGCTCAGGTCATGATCTCATGGTCCGTGAGTTCTAGCCCCGCGTCAGGGATCTGTGCTGACAGCTCAGAGCCTGGAGCCTGCTTCATATTCTGTGTCTCCCTCTCTCTGACCCTCCCCTGTTCATGCTCTGTCTCTCCCTGTCTCAGAAATAAATAAACGTTAAAAATTTTTAAATAAATAAATAAATAAATAAATAAATAAATAAATAAAACGGGAACAACAGGAATACCAACCAGGGCTGTTAGCTGACTCAGGGAGGCGACACGTGTAAAATGCTTAGCGCAGTGCCTGGCACAGTAATACCATTAATATAAAACCAAACAAAAGGGTGGCCCAAATGGCCTCTCCATACAATTCTGTCTCCCACCTCCTCTCTGATGCCCTTAAAACCCGGTCATGCCGGGGTGCCTGGGTGGCGCAGTCGGTTAAGCGTCCGACTTC